TTTTGACACAGAAAAAATTTTTAGAAGCTGGGTGTGGTGTTTTCCCTTCACTTCTGTCTTCAGCTACCTTGTGGATGTGGAGGGAGTTCCCTCCAGGCCTTCTTGCTGGTTTATCTGCTGTGTCCAGACAGCTCACGATGGCCTGTCCACTGGCTCAGGTTGAGGTGGCAGAAGAGTACTCCTGGCTTCTCTGTAGAGGAACCCACGACTTGGCTACCTGGGAGTGTTGCGCAATCGGGGCAGACTTACTCCTTTCCTCTCCAAAGATAGCTGCTTGGTGTAGTGGGGGCCTATTCTTTGGAAGCGCCCCGGGACTAGGAGTGGTGCCTGCAGCATTAGCTGGGCGGCTTGGTAATTGCCACGTCCGGTTCTCGTGAGGTGTAAGTGCCAAGGCGATGAGGAGACTTGTTTTCTCTCCAGGCCGGCAGCGCCTTCAGCACAGTACACTGACGCTGGAGAGGCCCTGGCGGCGTGGGCTTTAGGACGTTCCTCTTGCTCTGTAATGGCCACCCTCCCTCTTGGTAGTCGCGCGGCCACCTGGGCAGAAAATTGCTGTGCCTTTCTTCCCTCTGCATAGCATGAGGTGGGCGCTGGGGGAGGGCTCGGACGGCCTTGAGAGTCCTGCCCGGATGCAGTAGTTGGGGAGAAGTAGAATCGCCTCTTCTCACCCTCACGAGCCTTACCCGCATCGTAATTCTTTTTATTTTTACTTTCGAGCCATGTAAGGCATGCGGTTAGGGTAGGAGCGTTCCCGCGACACGTTGCCAGCGGCGCAGCGCCGACCCGCCCGCGTAGCCAGAGTCCGGGAGAGGACAGGCCACGCGCCACCCTTCCCACCTGCCCTGCCACCCCCGGTGGCTGGGCCCGCGCCGGCCACCCTTGTCCTGGGGTGGAGCAAGAGGCGATTCCGTGCGGCCCATTCCGGCCTCGGTCCCAGTTGCTCCTCCGGAGTGCCCGGACTCGCGGCGCGAGGCAGGCCAGGGCCGTGGGGCGCGGGCAGGGGCCGCTCCGGCCGGTTCGCGCCCGGCGCCGCAGGCCGCCGGCGGCCAGGCCCACGTTTTCCCTCTCTCCAGCTCCCTCCGCCCCCTCCGCTCCGTCCCTCCCCTCCGATCTCCTCCCTCCCCGCGCTTCCCCTCCTCCTGCCTGGTCATGTGTCGCCTTTTTTTGTTTGCAGTGGAAACAATTTCTCGCCGCTCGGCGCGCCCCGGCCCGACGCGCCGCGGCGGAGGCGAG